CGAGTATTGGAAGGCCTACAATGGAGGGTAGCTCTAGTGTACCTGGACGATGTCATTGTATTTGCAACAACTTTTGACGATGAAATGTCCCGGCTGGAGGAAGTATTCAAGCATTTGAAAGCAGCAAACCTCAAACTCCATCCCAAGAAATATCATTTGGTCCAGAAAGAGGTGCTTTACTTAGGCCACATTGTAAGTGAGAATGGTGTGCAAACTGATCATGATAAGGTGAAAGCAGTGCGTGACTGGCCAACACCAGACAATGTGGGAGAGCTAAGAAGTTTCTTGGGACTCTGTACTTATTACCGGAAGTTTGTGAAGGACTCTGCAACTATAGCTGCTTCACTACATGATTTGACCAAAAAAGGCCAGAAGTTTGAATGGACAGTTTCTTGCCAGCATTCTTTCAAGACGTTGAAGGAAAAAATTGGCCTCTGCTCCACTTTTAAAGCTTCCAGATCCCTCACTGCCGTACATACTGGATTGTAATGCTAGTAATGTCGAAATTGGAGGAGTGTTGTCTCAGAAAGTGGGCGAAAACGAACATGTGGTGGCCTACTTCAGTAGGGTTTTGAATAGACCAGAGAGGAACTACTGTGTAACACGGAGGGAACTTCTTGCTATAGTAAAGAATCTGACATATATCCATCCTTACCTCTATGGTGTAAGGTTTACCATCAGGACAGACCATGCTGCGTTACGCTGGTTAAGATCATTAAAGAACCCCGAGGGACAACTAGCACGTTGGATCGGAAAAATAGACCAGTATAATTATAATATTGAATATAGAGAAGGAAAATTCAATGGTAATGCTGATGGACTGAGCCGAAGACCCTGCAAAAATGACTGCAGACATTGTTGCAAAAGAGAGGTTGAACTAACCAGGTGCCATCAAGCTGGAGTCAAGCAGACTGAAAGAGTTGATGATGGTGAAGTGGAACCAAATATAGATATCAAGGCAGAACAGGAGGAAGACCAAGATTTGAAGCCAATAATTGATTTTCTACAAGCAAGGGTTTGCACCCTGCTTGGGAGAAGGTGTCTAACTTAATCCCTGTGACAAAGAACTATTG